AAAAAACAAGATGCTGTTATCTAAACGAACAAAAGGTCACCTTGACTAGAGACAATGAATTTCCCAGTTGGATTTCCGCATTTCATTAGCGGTAGGTTTAGGAGACCGTGTGGTTGTCAATTGTTAAGGAGAAATGTGTACGGCTAGGAGGCATGCGTTTGTGGCCACCATTCTTGAGCCCCGTGTGACAGGTGTGTGATTAACACAGATAATGTGGTGTCCGGCGTTCTCGTCGGAGGGAGTGCTGGCCGAGACGGCCCCAAACGGTTGTTTGCCAGGGCGATACTGCAATTCGAAATTAAACTCTTCGAGCAGTTCTCATGATCTAGCTATCTGTCCCTCGGTATATTTGAAATTCCGAAGTCATTTAAAGACCTGATGGTCGGGTTGGACGACAAAACATTTTAAAGTAGAATAAGGTAACAGGAACGTGTATTTCCGTTTTGTGATACCGTAACGGCATTACACTTTGTCTAAGTGTAAGCCATTACGTGCTCATGCCCGTCCACATCGATTTCACTGAGGACCACACCAGTGGCAAATCGGATAGCGTCAGTGTACAAGATGTATTGTGGACTGTAAAAGCTGTCTTTTAGGAACACGAGAATGTGTGCAGACGCCAGGACGCGTTCGAGAACGCAGAAAACTGAGAAGGCTTCAGTAAATTCTGCTGTCAACATAAAAGGTACCTTTTCCCATTAATCGATTTTGGGGGAAGGCAATATTAACGAAACTGTACATAAAACAGTGGTAATAGGAGGCCAACGATAAGAAGAACCGCCAGTCTGCTTGTGATTGTGGTATTGCCCAGCCATTTATCTGGCGAAAATTATTGGGCCGGGAGCGATGCCAGACTCCGATACTACGTGGCCAACTAAGTTACCTGCCTTTGGAGAAAATACCAAACTTATTAGCTGAGCGTGAGAACTGTAGCCGGCAATTTCTGGAGTGCTTGAATCTAACTGTCGAGCAATTGAATGATTTACTAAATGTGGGCGCTAATATCGTCTAGGTAGATGAGACAGGACCGGAAGAATAGACCTCGAAGGACAAGTTACACCAAACTTTGACAAATGGTAGTGGTGTTCTTGAGGTCTATGGGCACAAAAATGAAAACAAAAAGGCCGATGAGGAGGATAAAGGCAGTTTTCTGGCCAGACCTCCCTTTATAAATGACCGTGGGACAAGTGAAGTCTTGCGAACCGGGAAAAACTGGCTCATGCATGAATTGTGGTATCGATACGAAAGATCCGGACATAGTCGAGCACGGTGACCGAATTCCACTGCCGTTAATCGATGCACAGCCTAGTGTTGTCGTCCGTTCTCTCGGCGTGAGTGACCGAGGTGGTCTACGGAGAGCTGAAGTGTTCTTTAATGCCATGAGAGATGATGACGTTCAGTTTAGTTTGATAGTGGAACATTATTCGTCGAGGTGTTACGCGCTTTGGTGGGGCAGTGGCGGTGCTTACTTGGTACTGAATCATTCCGGTACGTCAGATTGGTTATCCTGCCTAGGTGAAACATTCCGAGAACGGGCGATCGACAACTGG